TGAGTCTAACAGTGAAGTGTTGCAGTTTAACAGTGAAGTGTTGCAGTCTAACAGTGAAGTGTTGCAGTCTAACAGTGAGATATTGCAGTCTAACAGTGAAGTGTTGCAGTCTAACAGTGAAGTGTTGCAGTTTAACAGTGAAGTGTTGAGTCTAACAGTGAAGTGTTGCAGCCTAGCAGTGAGGTGTTGCACTGAGTGTAAATCGGAGGCAATGTGTTCAACGTAATGGTATTTCCTCCAGTTATTTAACAGTCAATCATGGTGTACCACAAGGCTCAGTCTTAGGACCCACCCTCTTTCCAATTTACATAGGTAATGTAGGTCAGAGCATCCCTGATGCATCCTTACATTTCTGTGCTGATGACACAGTTGTTTATAGTCAAGCTAAAACAAATGCTAAGGCTTTCCAGTTTTTGTAACGCTCCTTTGACATCATCCAGTCAGATTTGTTCAGTCTCAAACTTATCTTAAATGCTTATAAAACCAAAGGGATGTTTTTTTCAAACAGGAAGTCGGTCCCAGCAGTTCTTCCACTGATTTTATCCTCAAATCAGAGAATCTACTTCCTCAGGCGGCTGAGGTGTGCTGGCCTGGGAAGCTCAGTCCTCACCTCCTTCTACAGGTGTGCAGTGGAGAGCATCCTGTGCTCCAGCATCAACGTGTGGCATGGAGGCTGCACAGCTGCAGAAAGAAAAGCTTTGCAGAGAGTGGTGAAGGCTGCACAGAAGTCTGTTGGAGTCAGCCTCCCCACCATCACAGACGTCTACACCTCTACATGCAGGAAGAGAGCCACTTGCATCATGAAGGACCACACTCACCCAGCACACACACTTTTTGCCCCGCTCCCCTCAGGAAGGAGGTTAAGGAGCATTAAGTGTAGAACCATTAGACTGAGGAACAGCTTCTACCCTGAGGCTGTTAGACTCATGAATCTCTCACCAGGATAATCACCGGGAAAAAAAAATCACATCATGTTGCTGCTGATCTGTTTCATGTTGCTGCTGATCTGTTTCATGTTGCTGTGTTCATTTGTGCTCATCTGTTCACACAGACTCATGTTCATGCTGTTGTTTGGCATATTGTCTTTATTGTTTTTGTGCTATTAGTGCTTAGTGTATATTTAGTTGAGTTTTTTCTTTGTTCATATCTTAGATCTTATTGCTGTTTTTCTTTTACATTTTATTGTTGGATGTAACTAGGACCCTGTGCACATAATCTCATTCCATCACATGTACCACATGTGGTGCATATGACAATAAAAAAACTCTTACTCTGAAATGGTGTCCCTATTGAGTTTGTTGATTCCTACAAATAATTGGGTCTCTTGGTTGACTCACATCTCTCTTTTAAGCTTCACGTGGAAAACCTAGTAACCTAGAAAGTTAAATTGGGTTTCTTTTTCAGCAATAGGCCCTGTCTAACTGAACGCTAGGAAACACCTTGTAACTGTGACTTTCCTTCCCTCCAATGACTATGGTGACATTATTTACATGAACACCCCTACAAGCACCCTGCAGATGTTGGATGCTGTCTATCATGGTGCGCTAAAATTCATAACTGGCTGTGATTATCGTACCCATCACTGCACCCAGTATTCACTGGTTAAGTAGACATCATTAACTTCACACAGACACTCTCACTGGTACATTTCCATCTTTAAATCACTTTTTGATCTGCTGCCTTCATACATCTCCTCCTACATGTCTGTGTGCATGCAGCTACAGCGTGCACTCTCAGGACATTATTACATGCAGTGTCCCTTCAGTGCAGACTGAACTAGGCAAAAGGGCCTTCTCCTACTCCGCTCCTGTTTCCTGGAATATCTTGCAAAAAGATCTTAAGCTCTCAACCTTGACCTCTCTAAGTGGCTTCAAACGTTACGTTCCTGGCAAAAAACTAATGCAGACATGTTCCTGTTTTTAGTTTTCTACATCGCCTTATAATCTAGCTATTTTTTCACTACTTTTTCCAAAGGGGTCGGGTACAATGTGGGATGGGTGGTGGCCGAGGGCAGGGACCTTGGCGGTCTGATCCTCGGCTACAAAAGCTGGCTATTGGGATGTGGAATGTCACCTCTCTGGAGGGGAAGGAAACTGAGCTGACGTGTGAGGTTGAGAGGTTCCGGCTAGAAATAGTCGGACTCGCCTAAACGCATGGCTCTGGCTCTGGAACCAGTTTCCTTGAGAGGGGTTGGACACTCTTCTACTTTGGAGATGCCCCTCGTGAGAGGCACCGAGCAGGAGTGGGCACACTTGTTGCCCCCCATCGTGGTGCCTGTATGTTGGGGTTCATCCCAGTGAACGAGAGGGTAGCCTCCCTCCACCTACGTGTGGGGGAACAGGTTCTGACTGTTGTTTGTGCTTATGTGCCAAAAGGCCATTCAGATAACCCATTCTTTTTGGAGTCCTTGGAGGGAGTACTGGAGAGTGTGCCTCCTGGGGACTCCCTTGTTCTGCTGGGGGACTTCAACACTCACGTGGACAATGACAGTAAGACCTGGAGGGGTGTGGTTGAGAGGAACGCCCCCCACTGATCTGAACCCGAATGGTGTTCTGTTATTGGACTTCTGTGCTTGTCATGGATTGTCCATAACAAACACCATGTTCGAGCATAAGGGTGTCCATATGTGCTCTTGGCATCAGGACACCCTAGGCCACAGTTCGATGATTGACTTTGTATAATGATTAAGTAAACTAAGGACCCAGGAATGCTACCAACACACAGAAAAAAGCATTTACAGGCTTTATTTTAAATGAAGACTGCAGCTCTGGATACTGGACCTCAGGGACTGATTTGCAGATCTGAAGCAGAGAGAGGCAGATGAGTGACAGGGGCAAGGCAGGTCAATTTTAGCTCAGAAAGAGCTCAGAAAGACCAACCTGTCAAGGTAAGAACATCCCAGGAAGAGCACAGTCCGAGCAAATGGTCCAGATAGATGATGAGATCTTCACAGAACAAAACAGGTTAGGGAAAATCGGCAGGCTAAGCAGAATCCAGAGGGCCAGGCAGGGGTCAAACCATAAGATCCAAGAGTAACAACTCTTCAGGCAGAGGAGCAGGCAAGGCAAAGTAAAAAGCCAGGCAGGGGTCAAAACCTTGAGATCAGAGAGCAAACGTTGGCAGACAAGGATCAGGCATAAACAGGGGTTCAGAAAGGCAGAAATGGGTCAGGTTCTTTAAAGAGCTTGGTTGTTAGTTGGAGTGAGGACAGAGGATGCAGAGGACAGAGTGAGATGGAGGAGGATGACTCGCTGTGGAGACTTCTGAAGAGGGAAAAGCTGAAAGAACACCACAGTTCATCAACCTTGGTCTGTCAACTTAGTAAAATTGGTTATAACTTTAAGTTATAGCGGCGCCATTCTAGAACTAAATGACTAAATGACTCAAAAGCCTGCCTCTCTGATGGTATGGTGGTGCATTAGTGTCATAAGTACGGCACAGTGCATCTGTAAAGATGCCAGCAATGCAGAAACATGTACAGGGTTTAAAGCCTTCTATGATCTGACCCACAGGATATTTCTCAGGGAAGGCATAGCCAACTTCAGCAGGATCGTGTTAAACTGCTTCCATTACATGCGTTTTTTTATGATTGTCTGTACCTCGTCTGTGTTCTTTGTTTAAAACAGGTCTCTCTTGTAAATGAGTCCTCGTGGCTCAATGAGACTAACCTGTATAAATAAAGGTTGAATGAGTGAAAAAACAGCATGGTTTTTAGCAGAAGAGTGTGAGCTCTGATGTGGCCTGTCTGCAGTCTACACATCTCACCAAAATAAAGTTGATGATGAAAATAAATGAAAATACTAAACAGTGATGGGCCCATTTCAAATTCTTTGAGTTGTGTTGCTATGAGAAATTTCACAACTTTAAAAAAGTACATTTGAGAAGCTTAGTATGTTTCAATGTTTAAAATGTAGTTTTATAAAATTTGAAAATTGTTGCATTGTTTTATTTACATTTTAAACAATGTCCCAACTTTTTCAAAAACAGCTTGTAACATCAGAGAAGGCTTTTGTCAGCAGTGCTCCATTTCCACAAAAAAGAAAAAAATATATATATACACTCACAATACAGGAGGAAACTTGTGTTGGAGCTCCCTAGTTTGTTGATGGCAAGACAAGTGTAGTTTCCAAAATCCCCATCAGACACATTAAAGAAGGTCAGCTTTGACAGAGCTCCTGTGCTGACCAGTTCCATCCCATTAAGGCCATTGAAGATTCTAAAGAAGAAGAGAAAAAAATATGTCAACTGCCAACAACCTGCACGTTTTCATTCAGGTTTAACATAAAGGGCCCCCTTAACATCTAGTAAAAGACTTAATGAAGATCTATGACATGAAAAGTCCATCTGTTTTACAGTGTCTTGGAGAAGCTCAAGAATGATAGTAAACAGCTTCTTAATTTATTTTTATGGTATGGTGTCCAGAATGGTGTCTTGGGATTAGCCTGTTGGCAGTGTATTCAAGATGTGAGCCCTTCGTGCACCAGGGCTTTGCTGGTAAAGAATCTGAAGCAGGACTGGCCTCACTGGCTTCATGCCTTTGTAAATATGGCCTAATCTTATCAAAGTGGGCAACTCTCCAAGACAGATATTTTAATGCTCTGAACAAACACCTGCAATGGCCAGCCGGTTACTCAGTTGCCAGTAAATACACTCAACAGTCTTCCATTTGTAAGGAGCACTTGTTTCCATAATGGTCAGACCTGTTGGACATGGAAGGAAGACTCCGCACAGAATACCAGTTCCTCTGCATGCTTTCACGCTGCTCAGGTGTTTTCTCCTTCAGTCAGGCTGAAACGAAGGACCTGTGTCATTGAAGCTTCAACTCTGAGGCTTTCTGAATAGCCTCATATCTCATGAAACATCCATCCATTATAACCTGATGCATGCTCAATAATCCAGGTAGAAAAATCTAAAAAAGTTAAGTCTGGTCCTCTGGACATTCAAAAAACAAAACAAACAAAAAAAAATTGTAGAAACGTTTCGTCTTTCATCTGAAAGACTTCTTCAGTCCGGGGCGACCTGCTAGCTGAGGAGCTAGCTAGCTGGCAGCTCTACCAACTGTGCCACCATGCTGCTTTCATGAAGCAATTAATTTAAAAGTGTTCAAATTATATTTTATACCGGCAGCACGGTGGCGCAACTGGTAGAGCTGCTGCCTCTCAGCGAGCAGGTCCCTGGTTCAAACCCCGGTCCAGGGGCCTTTCTGGGTGGAGTTTGCATGTTCTCTCTGTGCATGCGTGGGTTTACTCCGGGTACTCCGGTTTCCTCCCACAGACCAAAAACATGCATGTTAGGCTGATTGGTAACTCTAAATTGTCCCTAGGTGTGAGTGAGAGAGTGAATGGTTGTTTGTTGATTGTCTCTATGTGTCCCTGTGATGGACTGGAGACCCGTCCAGGGTGTACCCCGCCCCTCGCACAGTGATTGCTGGACATGGGCACCAGCGACCCCCGTGACCCAAAATGGAATAAGCGGGTAAAGATAATGGATGGATGGATGGATGTTTTATACCTGCATATAAAAAGATTAAAATAAAAATATTTATTTGTCTTTACAATTACAGTCATGGTCGAAAGTTGTTGGTATTTCTGAAATGTTTCCAAATGTTTCAAGTATTTCTCCCAGAAATGTTTAGCAATTGCACATTTTGTTATACACACATTTGTCTCCTTTGTGTGTGTTGGAACACAAAAACAGAAAAAAAGCTAAAATTTAAATAATTTCATGCAAAACTACAAAACTGTGCCAGACAAAAATTATTATTAATAATGCTTAATATTTGGTTTCACACCATTTGAAAAAATAACTGAAATCAATCGCTTCTTATAAACCTATATCAACAAGCTTCCTACACATCTCAACTGGATTTTTGGACCACTCTTCTTTTGCAAACTGTTACAGGTCACTCATATTTGAAAGGTACCTTCTCCCAACAGATCCCTTCACAGGTGCTCAATGGGATTTAGATCTGGACTCATTATTGACCACTTCAGAACTCTACGGTGCTTTGTTTCCATCCATTTCTGGGTGCTTTTTGAAGTATGTTTGGGGTCAATGTCCTGCTCGAAGACCCATTGACCTAGGACACAAACCCAGCTTTCTGACACTGGGCCCTACATTGCGACCCAGCATCATTTGTTAATGTTCAGATTTCATAACGCCTTGCACACAGTCAAGGCATTGAGTGCCAGAGGCAGCAAAACAACTCCAAAACATCTTGGAACCTCCACCATATTTGACTGTGGGTATTGTGTTTGTTTCTTTGTAGGCCTCATTCTGTTTTTGTTTAGCAATAGAATGATGTTCTTTACCAAAATGCTCTATGTTGGCCTCATCTGGCCACAGATGTTGGCCCAGAAAGATTTTGGCTTAATGCTCCCACATACTCGGGCGTACTGTGTGTACTCCATGAGCCATGCGGACACTGCGTGCACTTTTTGGAGAAGACGTGTGCTGTGCCCATTTTTAAGAACAAGAATGATAAGATAAGATAAGATAAAATAAGATCAGAAAAGATAAGATAAGATATAACTTCATTGATCCCGCAGGAAATTGTTGTGCCAGAGTTTCAGTTACAAAGGAACATACATAAGGAATCACACAAGATATTAAAAAATGACAGAGAATATAAAATAAATAACAGGTCAGGTACAGACATGTGTGAAATGCTTTAATGTGAAAACATTAAAATGTGGTGCTGAATTAATTTTATTATCCTATGTGCAGAAAGGGGGAGAAGTTGAACAGTTTGATAGCCACAGGGAGGAAGGACTTCCTGTGATGTTCTGTGGAGCATCTCGGTGGTCTCAGTCTACAACTGAAGGTGCTGCGGTAAGAGTCCAGTGGGGCATACAGGGGGTGTAATGTGTTGTTCAGGATCTGGAGCAGTTTCCTCAGCATCATCTGCTCAGACACCTCTGTCCGAGACTGCAGGTCCACTCCCAGAACTGAGGCAGCTCTCTTGATGAGTTTATCAAGTTTGTTGGCATCAGCTTTCTTCACCCTGCTGCCCCAGCACACCACAGTGTAGAAGACGACAGTGGAGACCACCAAGTGGTAAAACATCTGCAGCATGGTCCTGCAGATGTTAAAGGACCTGAGTCTCCTAAGAAAAAGGCGACTCTGCCCTTTCTTGTAGAGGGCGTTGGTGATAGCTGTCCAGTCCAGTTAATTGTCTAAGTGGACCCCCAGTTACATGTAGCAGTCCACAGTGTCCACCTTAGTACCCTTGATGTTGATAGGGTTGGGGGCTAATGTGCAGAGTTGTAGCAACTACAGTAGAATTAAGTTGATGAGTCACACAATGACGATCTGGGAGAGAGTTGTGGAAGCTAGACTTGGACAAGAGGTGACTGTGAGCAGCAGTATGGTTTCATGTCAAGAAAAAGCATCACAAAAGCCATCTTTGCTTTGAGGATGCTGATGGAGAAGTACAGAGAGAGTCAGAAAGAACTCTTGTGTCTTTGTGGATTTAGAAAAAAGTATGTGACACAGTGCCAAGGGCAGAGTTGTGATATTTCATGAGGAAATCTGGAGTGGCATAGAAGTTTGTTAGACTGGTAAAGGACATTACGTCCGTATGCTCTTTGTGGACTTGACATCTGCCTTCAACACCATGATCCCCCAAACCCTGATGGACAAACTAGTCACACTAGGACTAAGCCCCTCCATTTGCAACTGGGTCCTAAACTTCTTAACAAACAGACCACAGTTAGTGAGGATCCACAACTTCTCCTCCTCCACCATAACCCCCAGCACTGGCTCTCCTCAGGGATGTGTGTTGAGCCCCCTCCTGTTTACTCTGCTCACGTATGATTGTGCAGCTACCCATTCAGGCTGTCACATTGCAAAGTTTGCAGATGATACAGCGGTGGTGGGATGCATCACAAACAATGATGAGTCCAGCTACAGGCAAGAGATGGAGCACCTGGAGAGCTGGTGCAAAGAGAATAACCTTCACATCAATGTGAAGAAGACAAAGGAGATGATTGTGGACATCAGAAGGAACAAACACACCTACATGCCCCTGAACATAAGAGGATCTGCGGTGGAAGTGGTCTCCAGCTACAAGTACTTGGGTGTGCACCTGAACAACAACCTCAGCTGGAGCAACAACACCATCAGCCTGATCAAGAAAGCTCATCAGAGACTCTACTTCCTCAGGTGGCTGAGACAAGCTGGTCTGGGAAGCTCAGTCCTCACCTCCTTCTACAGGTGTGCAGTGGAGAGCATCCTGTGCTCCAGCATCAACGTGTGGCATGGAGGCTGCACAGCTGCAGAAAGAAAAGCTTTGCAGAGAGTGGTGAAGGCTGCACAGAAGATGTTGGAGTCAGTCTCCCCACCATCACAGACATTTACACCTCCAGATGCAGGAAGAGGGCCACCTGCATCATGAAGGACCCCACTCACCCAGCACACACACTTTTTGTCCTGCTCCCCTCAGGAAGGAGGTTGAGGAGCATTAAGTGTAGAACCACTAGACTGAGGAACAGCTTCTACCCTGAGGCTGTTAGACTCATGAATCTCTAACCAGAATAACCACTGTGAAAAATCACATCATGTTGCTGCTGATCTGTTTCATGTTGCTGCTGATCTGTTTCATGTTGATGTGTTCATGCGTGCTCATCTGCTCACACAGACTCATGTTCGTGCTGCTGTTCGACGTAATGTTTTTATGCTATTAGTGTTTAGTGTATTTTTAGTTGATGTTTATTTTTCTTAGTTCATATCTTAGATCTTATTACTGTTTTTCTTATACATTTTATTGGTGGATGTAACTGGGACCCTGTGTACATAATTTCGCTCCACCCCATGTACCACATGAGGTGCGAATGACTGACTCTGACTCTGACATGTATGAGGACAGCAGGACATGCATGAGGACAGCAGAACAGTGGTGAGATGTGCTGTAGGAGTGACAGATATGTAGCTTCAAGGTGTAGGTGGGAGTGCACCAAGGATCAGCTCTGAGCCCCTTCTTGTTTGCTTTGGTGATGGACCGAATAACAGATGAGGTCAGGCAGGAATCCCGGTGGACTATGATGTTTGCAGATGACATTGTGATCTGTGGTGAGAACAGGGAACAAGTTGAAGAGAACTTAGAGAGGTGGAGGTATGCACTAGAAAATGAGCCATAGTAAGACAGAGTACATGTGTGTAAATGAGGGGTAGGCAGGTGGAACAGTGAGGCTACAAGGAGCAGAGGTCACAAAGGTGTAGGACTTCAAGTACTTGGGGTCCACTATCCAAGAAAATGGGGAGTGTGGTAAAGAGGTGAAAAAGAGTGTCCAGGCAGGATGGAGTGGATGGAGAAAAGTTTCAGGAATGATTTGTGACAAAGGGGTGTCAACAAAAGTCAAAGGAAAAAAGTACAGGACAGTGGTGAGACCAGCTATGTTGTATGGTCTGGAGACAGAGACATGGACACAAAGGCAGGAGAAAGAACTGAAAGTGGCAGAAATGAAGATGCTAAGGTTCTCCTTAGGAGTGACAAGGGCGGATAAGATTAGAAATTAGATTATCAGAGGTACAGCACAAGTTGAACAACTGGGAGATATTTAGAGAGGCCAGACTGTGATGGTTTGGACATTTGCAGAGGAGGGACAGTGGGTATATTGGTAAAAGGATGTTAGAAATGCAGCTGCCAGGAAGAAGGCAAAGAGGAAGGCCAAAAAGAAGATATATGGATGCATTTAGAGAGAACATGGAGGTAGTTGGAGTGAGAACAGAGGATACAGGGGACAGAGTGAGATGGAGGAAGATGACTCGCTGTGGCGCCCCCTGAAGAGGGAAAAGCCGAAAGAAGAAGAATGATGAAGGCAGTTTGAAACCGTGTTAGTGCAACAGTCTGTTAGGGAAACATTTTGAAGATGTCTGCAAACACATCAGCTAACTCAGCAGTACAGCCTTTTATAAGCAACTCAGAAGATTGGGTCCTTCAGCTTTGTGTAGACTGACTCTGTTCAGCACATTCCTTACATTAGATGCATTCTATCACAGTCTGAGAGTTGTTTCAGCATGGCGCGATAGTTGCAGTATATAACAGGAAAACTGTAGGAACATTCTCCTAATGAAGTGTATAGTGAGTGTAGCGGAACATCACAGATGTAGAAAATTGTAGGGAAAAACTATTTAGTGAGTACTAAGAGAACGGTAGCATCATGAATGCCTTAGGGAATTTAACGACTGTTGGAAAAAAAAAAAGTTTTACTTTCGCCCATGTCTTCTGTTTAAAAATTATAAACCTAAAATGTTTACCTTCTGTCATCTTTGTACCATTCAAAATCTGCTTCAGGTACGGCACTGGCTTCACACTCGAGCACTCCTTTCTGGCCTAGAGTAGCGCCAATGTCTCGGCCTTCTGTTATGGTTGGAGCATCTACATGAAGACATAAACAAACAGACGTAATGTGTTCAGGACTACAGTCAGCTTAGATCTAGAAAGGACAGAGCCTACTGCATGTTTTTGGCCAGGATTTTGTGCAGACATTTTTTATACTAGACTAAATTACCATAGCTCCTCTTGTTGGGAGCTGAAGCCAGCAGGACCAGTCTCTAGAGCCTAACAGGTCCTGCAGGCTTCAACTCCCAACAGGAGGAAGTAGTTATTTAGTTTAGTATTATAAAAAATGCATATAATATTGTATGTGACACTCCATCTAGTGATGATGCTTATGTGTATCAACTTATGCTCAGAAGTTATGGCCTGGACAAGAGAAAGTTTATGCATGTGCCGATATACAGTATGTATGGACTGAAGGACTGCATGGAGACCCTAATTATGACAGCACAAGAGATGGCCCTCAGCACAAGAACAACAGTGGCAGGGTTCTACCATACCAGAGGAGACCCAAAATGCAGAATGTAGACAAATGTCCGAGACAGTCCAACACACAACAGCAGATGTAAGATTGAGGAAGGCAAAGCATACTTGGAGCATCATTACGAAGTGGCTGGAATAGAGTACAGGAATATCTTTTCAGAGTTTGGACTGGAGGTCACCCAGTCAAAGTGGGAGACTCCACCAAGGGTGGAGGAGGATTACAGAGCTAAGATACTGTGGGACATTTAGATCAAGAATGGCAAACAGGTCATGGATAACCGACCAGATGTGGTGGTGGTGGTGGTGGTGGTGGACAACCTACAGATAAAACAGTGATAATAGATATAGGAATCCCAAGTGAGTGTAATGTCAGAAAGGAGCATGAGAAACTGGAGACATACCAAGGGTTTAAAGATGAAACTTGAATGTGGAGTCCATTTATTTGCAGGGAACTCTTATCATAACATTAATACCCAATGAGAAAGCGTGACTGAAAATTTCACACAAAAATACTTTAAAACAAAAATAAAACCAACAACAAATAAAAATCATCCATCCGTTATATTTACTCGCTTCTTCATTTTTTGGGTTGTGGGGGCCACTGGTGCCCATATCCAGCCATCATTGTGTGAGAGGGAGAGGACATCCTTTTTTTTTCTCTCTGGCTCTTGCTCAAGGTGGCTGCTTGACTTTCCTCTCCCGTTATTTTTCCTTCCCCTGCTTTGCTCTCTGTGTGTCTGAAGCGCCTAGTACACATCTCCTGAACATAAATTAAGATTATGGATCTGGTAAGTTGGGCGTTCAACTCTATATGCAAGATTTTTTTCAACAAAACGACAAGGTCCTGGAGAACCTGCGTGTCCAGCTGAGACGCACGCTGTGGGGTACGTCATGGACCTGTGGGGAGTGTGGCAGTTGATGTGTCTCTCAGTCCTGTCTCAGGAGGATGCTGAAGACATTTACATATTTGGATTTATGATAGCAGGGACTCTGCTTTATGGCATCGGCGGGGCTCTGTTTTATCGACTACTGAAGAGGAAATCGGCAACAATTTCGGCCATGACAAAGCTTCCGAGTCAGTGTGAAGGTTTGATTCATGTTGTGAGTACTCAAAATCAGCTGGTTTACGAGCTAAACCGTAAGGTGGAGATGATTTATGAGAATCGCAGGCCACCTGTGGCTTCTGGGGCTCGTCAGCGTGGTGGGTTCGACCTTGAGAGAGACTCATAACATGGATCAGTGGAATAGAATCCCACAATTAGGCCATTTTGGAACCAGAACGTCCAGATGGACTCAAGGCTGAAGAAAAAATCTGTCTGCCTGAAGAAAATCAACAATCAAAAAGTTTATCTGAATCTGACTCCCCGCCGGCCTCGGAGACGGGCCAACTATCAAATTTCTCTTGGGTCATGGGTAACCAAGGACAAAAGCTTCATCTATCGCACCCTCGAGAACTTTCTGTGCAAGCTTATCAGAACTGCCGGCTGAAACATCATCAGAACTGTGGCTAATCTGAAAAACGCTCATGGACAAATCTCAACTATCATACTCACAAACCAGAGCATGAAGGGACTCATGCCCAGTCAAGAGGGGATGGTGTAACCCATATGAAACATTGGGCTACTAAACCCATATCTGTAATTTAGGTTGTAATACCGGGAAGGTCCAGCAGAGGGCACTCAGTTTTTACTGATTTGAATTTAACCAACGTGGTTTGGTCAATTTTCCCTATATTCTGAGGCATGCTCTTTACACGTGCACTGACTGACCAAACTGTGTACCTTACAACTTGTCTATAAGTGACAGAAGTGACCAGAATGAGAATTATCTGTGCAAATCCCAGTGAGAGACTGAGATGACGCTTGTTGGGTAATATCTGCAAAAATTCTGGTGAGCGAATAACTCAGCTGAGCTCACTTAGCTTGCGGCTAATGTATAGAAGTTAAATATTAAACTGCCAGATGTTGAGATATGTCTCTAAATAAACCAATCGGGAGTTTGTTGGACTTTGTCCTAATGTTTTATTCATTCAACCTTTATTTAGACAGGTAATCCCATTGAGCCTAGAGGACTCATTTACAAGAGAGACATTTAATTGCTTTGGTGTGTTTTACATCATTGTACTGACAGAAATAAGAATAAAAATTGCTAACCGACCTAATGTTAGCACTAACCACAGGTGCTAATGTTAAAGGTCTGTATCATTTTACAAGGTTAGAATTAGCTCTACAATGACAACGAATGTGTTTTTTTGTATTCTAAATCATACTGGTTCATTAAAAATACATGCAGTTCATAGTAAGCCATGTTAAAGCTACTATAAGTTGTTTTTGGTTAAAATAATTGTTGAAGTGTTATAAATTCATTAATCAACATTTTAAAAGCAAAAGAAAGGTCAAATGTTTAAAATGCCTGATATGTTATACAGTCTAACAATGATTTTGATTAACTCACAAGTTATGCACGGCATATTTAAGTTGTCAATGTACAGTATTTTGTTGATTTAACACTAAAAATAATTAACAGTTAACTACTGTTTATTGCATTTCATGGTAGTTCACCATAAACTTAAGCTGATTAAGCTAAAACCTAAAAGGAGAAATATGTGAATGATTTGTATTTTTGAGAAAGGACATGGAATCTTATATTTGAACAGGAACAGAATGATTTACTTCTGCACTTTATGCAGATGGGTTTTATAGTGACTCTGGATTCTTTGATCGTGATGGAGAGCCGAGCCCATGCAAACTGTGGACAGGTGTAAAGCGTGTGGCCAGCCGGGACATCATTTCACAGAAGAACCTTCACAATCCGGAAAATCCATCTTGGGTTACAGATAAGATTCCATACACAACACTACCTGGGTAGCCACGTTGCTAAAGAACTGAACTTATTTTTATTTTATTTTTTCATAAAAGGGAAAGAGCTCTATTTAATTTTGCTTGTATTTTATTTTCCTACATTTGTAAATAAAGTTGTTCCTAAATGCTTGTTGGGAAGCAATGAAATAATCAGTTCAGTATTCAGTGAGTGTGACATCATGACTCTTGGTGGAACCTAGTAAATGTTTAGTGCCTGTTCCCTACTGGTCCACTTCAAGTGCAGTTACTGGTGTGTTTACGTCTACATTTGAGAAAAATTTAAATCTTTGCAGTGTACATTAGAGTGAGCACTTTAGAGGTGTGATGTTTTCTGTTGTATAAAGTTAAATGTGGTTCAGTTTCCATCATTCGGATTGAAACCATAAATACTCAGAAAAGTAAAAAAGCATTTGTTTAAAAACCTGTTAAGTTCAGAAAAGCAAAAAGAGTCATATTTTGTTGTATTACACTGAACTTTAGTACTTTGTATTTTAATACTGGGGACTGAAAAAGTTGGCTTCGATGTAACCACATTCTTATGGCAAGTCAAAACATTCACACAACGTTCATTTTGATACATCTCAAAATGTGCGCAGAGCCTGGTGCACGCAACCTTTTTGTGAGTATACATCACTGATACATGAGGCCCCTTGACCTTACACTTACATGTCAAATTTCATAAGCTTCCATTAAAATAGTCAAGAGGAGCTGCATTCTAGCGAGCTAATTTGCCATGCCCATTTCTGTTTGTTTTGTTGTCTCCCCATATTTACACAAGTTCTAAATACAGGTCATGTTTTGTGATGCTTGACCCACTAGAACCTGGTAAGAATGGTTTGCCGCCAGGAGAAAT